CTGTGGTGTGGTAATACGACTAAACTGCTGTACCTTAAGGTTTTCTCAGAGAAACTCCTGCTAGGCAAAACCTCTATAAAATAATGAAACTGGTTTCTGTAATGAACGTTTGGGAAAAAAAGTAACTTTATTGACTGAAAATAAATACGCAGTGTCTCAGAAGCTTTCTGTCAGGTGAAAAGCTCCAGTGTCTTGGGAACTTAATCTCTGTTTTGACGCCTAACAGATAAGAACAGTGGGAAGTCATCCAGTTCTTCTGGTAATCATGGTCACAGGAATTGCAGTAACTGGTTTGCAAAACCAAAACCAACGCCAGCAAACCGCCATGCAACAGCCATGTCTTTCTGCTGCTGTTAGCAGTGAACTGTGTTGTGTGGGTTCTTGGCAAATAGGGAGTGGCAAGTGTGTGGGAGATAACGGGAAGTGTCATTCAAGCAAAATGGTTTCAAAGGTTAAAAGAAAATATATGTGCACATGTAAGTGTTTGTATATACGTGTAAAAAACACTGGGCAGTGAAAAGTGGATATAAGGAGAAATTTGTGTGGATAAAAGTATAAACACAGAAACAGGACAGGTCTAAGTGAGGATAAGAGGGATGGTATTTGAAGACTGTAGAAGAGGTGCTGTTAGAAGCAAACAAAAGCCATCTTGTGTTGGTAGAGCCGCTGGTCTGTAATGGCCAGGAGACTTAGGTAAGTAAACTGATTATATATCTTGTCTAAACATCACCAGGCTGATCAACTGCTGAAACGTCTCAGGTTTTATATTGTCTTTGGTATGAAATACATGGCAGCTTTTTAGGACATTCTTCCATATTTTAGTTATACCTGTATCTGTCTCTCTCTCTCTATCTCTTACATTGGCATTTCATCAGTGCTAGTATTTTGTCACAAAGTGGATGGTAGTTCAGGAATTATTATTATAGAGAGAAAAAATTATTTAGAAATTGAACAATTCCAACATCTGATAGTCACCAAGTTAATGTGATACCTGTTTTTTTTTTTTTATTTTTCTTGAATATATTCATACACAATTTTAAATCACCTACAGTTGGTACCTTTTTCTGACAGGGGCCACCAAAATAATAAATATGTAGTGTTGAAGTATTTTAAAATCATGAACTGAAACTTTAATTGATAGTACCACTGTGATTCTAGTAATGCAGTTTAGGGTTTCTCTTTTTTCCCCCCAGAGAAAGTTGGGTAGTCCTCCTTGTCTGTGGGCTGAAATTTTAACTGTAAAGGTGGGAAAAGGGGAGCCTTTTAAAGCTGGCTGGGGAAGGGGGGAGAACTTTCTTAGAAAACAACTGGCTGAGCTCAGGCTTGGAAGTGACAGTGGTGTGAGTTTTGGCTTACCATCCGGTGTGCCTCTTGCCTGAAGAGTTTTCAAACATGAGCCAGAGGAGTTATTTAAATTTCATTCATGTTCTACACTAATTTAACTTGTCTTTGATCACAGTATGATGGAAAGTGTCGACAGAGCACAGGTTTAGCAGTCCATCTTCCATGTGCAGAGGACTGTGGCAAGTGGTAAATAGAGGGGTAACCATGACTAACTGGAGCAAGATTGCCTTTATGTCAGTGGGAATATTTCAGCTGTTGGGAAGGTGCTAAGACTAGGGGAGAAAGAAGTGCTAACCTGAGCGTAAGGGGAAGTGGTGCACAATGTATGTGGGGCGGATGTAAAGTGAAGGATCGAGCGGTCACTTGGAAGATTTGTTTGTTCGAGATGCTCAGAGTGTTCTTCCACTGTGCACGCGCACACCACGCGCTGTGCTCGGTAACGGTAAAATCAGTCCATGTGTAAAGAGCAGGTTGTTTCTGTAAGTCTTGAAAGGGAGGGGAGGAGGGAAGAAGGCAAGGGGGAAGTGGAGGAACAGTGGTATAAACATAGAGGTGTGCTAGCTCAGGTGTGCCACAAAGCGAAGAGTTAACACAGAGGCAGAGCTCTTGGCACATGAGCAGGGTGATTTGTAGAGAGAAGGCAAACCTAGAGTTCCTCTTTTATGAGTAGATCAAAGTGTTGTGATCATCCATCGTATTCTTAAGGGAAGTAGGATTATACAGCAACTTGGAACAGTGTAGCCCATTGGGGCCTACAAGGAAGCTGGGGGGGACTTTTTACAAGGGCCTGTAGTGACAGGACAAGGGGTAACGGGTTTAAATTGAAAGTGGGGAGGTTTAGATTAGATATCAGGAAGAAGTTCTTCCTGGAGAGGGTGGGGAGGCACTGGGACAGGTTGCCCAGAGAAGCTGTGGATGCCCCATCCCTGGAAGTGTCCAAGGCCAGGCTGGATGAGGCTTGGAGCAACCTGGTCTAGTGGAAGGTGTCCCTGCCCATGGCAGGGGGTTGGAACTGGATGATCTTTTAAGATCCCTTCCAACCCAAACCAGTCTGTGATTCTATACTTTACTGCCAGTTTTCATAGTTTTTACAGCTACCTTTTAACTGTGTAAATTCACACTTAGTAGTATTTGCAAATGACTACTGTTTGGCTTTGAAATTCCCAGAAAAGTACTGGCACTGTCAAAACCTTGATATAATATATGTAAAATCTGACAGTGTGACTTTATTGGTGTTATTTGGATGCTTCTTGTCATGGGTTTTCTCACCCTCAAAGCATGTAACTATCGCATATTGTGAGACTATGAGTTGTTACGCCTCTTGGTAATCAATGGGCAGAAAGCGGTAATGAGGTCAACCAGGTGAGCTTGACATGCTGTGCAACTTGCAAGTTGTCAGAACTTTAATCGCTGAAGTCCTGTGAGTTTGTCATTGACACACTCTCAGTTGAGGAATGTCCCTTAAGGTACACCCAGCCGTAGGGGAAGGAGGGCTTGGAGCATTAGAGCCTCAGGTGTGTCCTTCATGGGATGAAGAAGCATCCTGTAGCTCATAGATGTAACGTGAACGAAAAACCTGCCTGTATTTGCGCTGTTAGCATGTTTGAATTAGTATCAGCCGGCCGTGTAGTTGGTGTCTCATCGTTTGAGGAAAAAGCCTGCAAAATTCCTGGCAAAGGGTCAGCAAAGTGCGTTTCAGGGCTGCAGCCTGATTTTTAAGGAGGTGTGGTAGGAAGTGAACCACAAGCCGGGTAATCTCCTCTTGTGGGCCAGTTCAGTGGCTTCAGGTTGGACACACTTAAGGAATAAAATCGCTGAAGTCCTGTTCCAAAAATAACTTGGTGAAAATATTACTTATTTTTTTAGGATTAGGTAAAATTTATTGTGTCTTTTACGTGATAATGCTGCTTTTTTACAGCCTGTTAATGCTCAACTCTCAGTGATTTGTACTCCAGGCTCCTATAAAGTCATACAAGGAAGTTTAGGGCATTTTGAAACAGATCTTTTTAAAAACCTAAGATCAAAATCTAAATGCACTATATTCTAGTTCTTTAATGAACCACTTGTGAATTTGGTATAAAAACCTGTACCTGTGAGTTTCTTTAAAGTAAATTGGTCGGTGATTGCGACTGGCAAGTCAGCCCGTCATTTCCATCAACATAAATCAGTTCTAAGTGAATAAGATGAAACTTTTGCTAACAAAAATGTTAGTATTTAATTAAACTCATTATTTCTAAAAGCTGTTTGATGTAAATCCAGTTTAAATAATTAACTTAGAGCATCATTCACATGTCCTAACTGTTAGGACAGCTGACCGTTTGAATGGATCGGAGTGTTGTAATGGTAAATATGTACCTATTGGTAAGTGGCAGCAAATTAAGTGCTAAAGACCGTATTTAATTAACAGTTACTGAGACTTAGAGCTTTCTTGGAATATAGGAAATATAAACAGTGAAGAACTTTAGCTGAAACTTCAGTTCTGGGTTTCTGTTAACTTAGATCTCTCCCTGTTGCAAATAAGTTTGAGTCCATTACCCTCACAGGTTTCTTCTTCTGTTAAATACAGACTATTTGTTACGTTAAAACCCCTTCTGAACATGCCTTCTGTCTCTGCTTGTTGCTTGCCATTCATTTCCAGGAGGTTCTGGTCAAAAAATACTAAGAAATATAAAGGAAAGACTTGATCTTCATTGTGGAGGTCTTAATTCCTGCATTTGCCAGTGTGCCCTGGTTTATCATGTTTAATCACCCGTGTGGCAGTGTTGGGGCAGTGAGGGGGTTGTTTGGGCACCCCAAATTTATTTTTGTAAATCACAGACTCTTTGATTATAATCTGAAAAACTGATTAAATATTTCTAAGATTGTTTTCAGTGTCACCTGTAAGAAAAGTTGGTTTTAAGAAGTCATCTTTTTCCATACAGAGCCTTAAGTCTCATCTGGTCTCGAATAACAGCTTCTCAAGAAAGTGTTTTTTTCCTGGTTTTGGTGGAGTCTTATCTTTTGGTTCAGGGCTTATGCTAAAATCTCAACCAATCGTCCAGCCTCAAACAGTGGAGACAAGCCAGGGTGTTTTTGCCGTGGCAGGAATAGAAGAGTCAAGGTCATCTGCTGGAATATTACTCCTTCCCCTCTGAACGCTACAGGGGGTAACTTTGACGTAAGACGTCATCCCTGTGTTAGTCCTTGACACCCTCCTCTGTAGGGCGGGGAAGCTAGCGTGCGCTGTCAGTGAATGAAGTTCAGTAATACAGCCGCCGAGGGTTGTATGTTGGATTTTAGAAATCCAGCTCTTCCTCGTGAACCGAAAGAGCAGGCATTCGTGTGATGCGTAACTGCAGCTCAGCTGCTGTTTACAGGGCGGTCGCTCTGTGTAACTGGTACAGCCAGATCAGTCCGAGGGAGTAATGCGTATTTAAAACAAACGTGTGCCATTAGGTTAACGTCATAGTCTTTCTTCAGCCCTTTTATCTACCGTACTACGCTGTAAATAAGCTACACCGCCAACTGCGGCGTGTTCACCGTGCAAACCTTTGGCCTGTTTTCTAAATGCAGAGAGAGGTGTTGCGCCTGATTGCACCCTCCCTCCACCCCACCCCCCACAACCCCCAATATATGTTTTTATGATCTGTATTTGTGTATTGATTTCTAGGTTTCTTTATTCAGATGAAGTTCAGATTGGTCCAGAAACAGTCATGACGACTTTATACACTGCCAAAAAGTATGCAGTCCCAGCCCTGGAAGCACATTGTGTGGATTTTCTAACGAAGCACCTGCGAGCAGATAATGCCTTTATGCTGCTTACTCAAGTAGGTAAATTTAAGCCTAGTTTTGATTTACTGGGAAAATCAGTATTTGGAGGGCAATGACTAAATATTACTTCCCAGTGAATTGGCTCTCACATAGTCTCATTTATGTATGAAATTCTCTTGTTTGTCTGTTAGCGTTTTTGCAGACTTAACTCCTTATTAATGTGGAGGAAAGGCACTTCCTCACTCTCCCTTTTTCCTCGCTCTCCCTGGCATAAACACACAGAGTACTTGGTCAAATCAACCTGTTTTAATTAAGATCTCTACTAGGGTAAAAATACTTGCTTTTTAAGTAAGTGGTCTGTCAACTTTATGCTTAAGATGTATTTCTTTACCTTTTTAGGCTCGTTTGTTTGATGAACCTCAGCTTGCTAGTCTTTGTCTTGACACAATAGACAAAAGCACTATGGATGCAATAAGTGCAGAAGGCTTTACTGATATTGATATAGGTAAGTTACTTCATCTCTCCTAAGCGTTAAACTTGTGAAGGGAATTGCAGGGTGCGAGAAGGCTTTGTCACCGTAACCTTGGGTAGTTTGCTTCCCCCCTCATCTGCACCCACCTTTGCACAGGCACCAACACGACAGCCGGCTGCAGATCTCGGAATTCAGACAACAGCACCTGCATCACATCAGTGAGTTTCCTAATGAGCAAAACAGGACACTGCATATGTATGATATGTTAATCAGCACAAGCTTTATTATCCACCACTGCAGCGTTTTCCTTTGAGCTTCACACCTGAGCAGAGTGCTGGGTCCTCATTTGATTAGTGTTCAGTAACCACACTTCCCACTGCAGTAACACCACACTTGGAAAGCCAAAGCTTTCACTTGCCCTGTGTTGTGCCTTGTCCCTGAGGAATCCTCACCTGCTTTTCACACATAACACGAATCATGCAGTTTTCTTCCTGCTACTTCTCGATTCAGAGTTGCACAGATCAAGTGCAGTTTATGAAATCTATTTAAAAATACATATCTCTCTAAACTGCTTGGTTTTGTGTTTCATCTTTTATGAGAAGCTAGCAGTTCTGCGTTCGGTTAGTTATTGTTACTGTATGTGTCTAAGGTTTTACTCCAGTTCAGCTACACTGTGTGAAAAACTCAGACTGAAGGAAAGTGTTCCAGCTGCTTAAAGAAATTGTAAGGTCACTGCTAACTTGTGTTCAGTGGGATTTGTGCCTCGACCGTTAGTGTTCAGCTCTGCTCTAGATAAGTCTGTTTTGACTTTCCAGTATGATGTTTTCTACAACTGCAAACATGTCTTGCTTTAATTCAGGGTGCATAAAAATTCCCAAAGAAGACAGAAGATTCAGAATATGAAAACGTATTTTTTACAGGCTTGACTTCTGTGATAAGCTGAGAGGTTTTGCATACCTGTCATTCATTAAACTCCAGAACAAGTGAGAAATACAGGAAAACCTGCTTTTGTAAAACACATGGGAGCACCTTGCCTCACATCCTGCATTCCACCTTCAGCCTTTGTGGGTGGCAAATACGTCAATGTTTAAGATCACTTCCATGTATCTTTAAACTGGTTTTGTGTGCACCACTGCTGCGTGTGTCTGCAGTTGATCTGGATTGGCAGGGGCTGCGTGGAGGAGAATATGGCAATGCCATCATGAGTAACTTGTTTTTTTAGTACTGTGCGTTCACCACTTGGTCGCTTCCAGTTTTGATCTTCCCCTAGCCATGGAAATTCTTTAGGATATTGCTTGTGACTGTAGAGACTGTATGTGGTCACAGGAAGAAAGTTTGTATGCTGTCATGATGTTTTTAGTTTGGAGTTTATAGACCATTGGGAAATTTCTTAATGCATAAGAGGTCTTTGATATTTTATTATGAATATTCTTAGTGTTTACTTGCTCAATATATTAATGTGTAGCACTGTTCCTGGTTTGTTAAGGGAGAGACCACTCGAGCACGCATATAGCATCCTAGGAATTGCATGCTTACCCCCTGAGTCTTTATTGCTAGGACGGGATTCCCATTGCGGTGGGCAACTCCGGGGAGTCAACGCCTGCCCCTTTCGACTCCTTGCACACACGCATTCTTACTCTCAAGTGCTTCTCTTTTCCCCCAGTTCAATACCTGGGTTTCCCACAGCAGAGTTCCAAGTATTGAATCTTGCATATAAAAATTATTCAGATGATACAGCGGGAAAACAAAACCAGCTTTGGCTGGGTGACCCCAAGGAAAGACATCCCAGGGCAAATACACCCTTGTAATCCATGCACCCACCCCTCATGCCCTTTTTACGCACCTTTCACACGCCTTTCTGGTCCAAAGGTGATTTCTGGTCTAGGATCTTCTAACACCTTATTGGATTCTGTTTCTGTTTCCACGCGGGCCGTTAACTGTTCTGCTGCTGGTTGTAGCCTCCTTATCTTCTGGTTCGTGCTTCTTGTGCACCTGCTCGCTCTGTCGGAGCACGCGGAACTGAGAAGCCCTGAACTTGGGATAAGCACTGCTTACTAACAACTTTAAACATCAGTGTGTTAACAACATTATTCTCCTACTAAATCCAAAACGCAGCACTCTACCAGCTACTAAGAAGAAAATGAACTCTATCCCAGCCGAAAGCATATCTGGGTGAAAGTTCACAGCCTGGGGCCTGTGGCTTCAGCAAATCTAGCTACTCACGTTAAGGTAGTAACAAACAAACAAGACACCAAATTGCTCAGCATTACGCTGTAACCCCTGCATCCTGATGCTAAATGATTGCCTCTGGGTGATTCATTCTATTTAAAACTTATTTAAGCTATATGTCTAGTATTTCTTAACAGGTTTGGATGAAAACTGATCTAAAGCTGTTAACTTTTTTTCTTTAGACACATTATGTGCAGTTCTAGAAAGAGATACCCTTAGTATTCGAGAAAGTCGACTTTTTGGAGCTGTTGTTCGCTGGGCAGAAGCCGAATGTCAAAGACAACAACTGCCTGTGACGTTTGGCAACAAACAAAAAGTGCTTGGAAGAGCTCTTTCCTTAATCCGATTTCCTTTAATGACTATTGAAGAGTTTGCAGCAGGTGAGTTTTGGGGTTCTTTGTCTGACTATTAGACCGTGTCACTGCTCTGCTCCCCTGTGAGTGTTTAGATGCTGAATGCTCTGTTCTGTTACTAACGGAAGTTGTGATGGACGAATGAAAGAGAAACATTCTGCCATCAGACAGTATTGTCATCATCCTCAGTTTGAGAATGTGTGTGGCTTAAAAACAACAGTTGCAGCAATTCTTCCAGTCACCTTAGAAGCTGTTTCTTTTTGCAGGCCCTGCTCAGTCTGGAATCTTGTCAGATCGGGAAGTAGTAAATCTCTTTCTGCATTTTACTGTCAATCCCAAACCTAAAGTAGATTATATTGACCGACCAAGATGTTGCCTTAGAGGAAAAGAATGTAGCATTAACAGGTTCCAGCAAGTGGAGAGTCGCTGGGGCTACAGCGGAACGAGCGACCGGATTAGGTATGGCTTTTGAAACTGGAGGAGGGACACAGAAGTGTGGGAAGAAAGGGAACACATTGCTCAACATCGACTTCTGGGCATAAGACACAATAACAAACGCGCTGGTGCTGTTTGGGCACGTTTGGTCTCTTCCTTTTTTTTAAAGTAACTTCGGCTGTCGCACGAAGTTTATATAGAATTGATATATATGTATAAAATATGAAGTAGGAAAGAATAGAGTTCAGGAGGACTGGGTGCGTTCTAGAGTGGTTGGTAGCTGCGTGTGCCTTTTAAAATGTCAAGTCTGTCTCGATCCGTTTGGAGATACTCGGAAGAATCTCACTGTTTTTTAGTGATACTCAACATCTTGTGGGATTAGCAAAGCTTTAGCCTATAAAGCTGGTACCTTGCAGAGCGTTTTTCTTACTACTGAAATCTAAATAGAAAGTGTTATTGAAAAAAATATTCCCGTAATGTCACTTTGAGTTTACTTCCCTGTAAACTGTGCGAGTCTTTCCTCCTTGACTGGGAATAAGGTAACACACCCATCACAGTGGTTTAAAATCCTTTCTTGGCTTGTGTCTTACTAGGTTCACGGTTAACAGAAGAATTTCCATAGTGGGATTTGGATTATACGGATCTATTCATGGACCCACAGACTATCAAGTTAATATACAGGTACAGCATGTTCTGTTTAAATAGGCTTATGCAGACACTACACTTGTAGTGCTTGAAAAAGGTTTGGTGTACATTTGAATTGAGCAGGAGCAATCTCGTAGGCCAGGAATCTAACCTATGTTTTGTCCCCAGCAGGGGTCGTAAGTGGAAGATTAGGGAAAAGTAAGAACACTATGAAAAGCTTTTCCCTTCCTGTTGTACTCTCCTGTCCTTTAAGCTTTTTTGGTAGAGGTGTTTCATGAGACTGATCTGGTTTCTCTGTTTAGTAGCTTCTGGTGAATCTTTCTTCAGGCTACTTGTCTTGAATTCCTCTAAGCTTTCTGCAGAGGAATTTCATAGCTTTATAATCTGTTCAGTTGTGCACAAAGTCTGTGCTCTAATAAAGTTTCTAGGAGTTCAGAAAAGAGATCTTGGATTTGTCATCCACAGCTCTCTGAGATCGGTGACACTGCTCCCACTGTGTCATCAGGGAGATACTGAAAACAAGATAAAAGATGACACTGTGTTGCTGTATGAAAGCCAGGTGTGCCCACATCTTGAGTATTGTGTGCAGTTCCCAGTCTCACGCCGTAGAACTAGAAGGTGAAGAAAAGGGTAGTGAAAATGATGAAGGGGGGATAGGGCTGACGCTTTGCGAAGGGAGACCAAAAAGGCTAGGACTCTGCAGTTTGTAGGGGAAGGCTGGTGGGGTGTGAGCAGTGCTTCTAAATCGTGAGAGCAGTGGGTTTGGTAAATGTAGAACTGTTGCTCACCAAACCCCAGAACATTAGAACTAGCAGACACTGATGCTAGCAGAAGATGGAAACAGGTGAGAGTATTTTTTTTCAAGGCAGAGGATACTGAACATACTGCCACAAGAAGCAGATACCATGTTTTGAATTTGGTGTTACGAACGTGTTCGTTCATCAATAGCAGATCCATTTGAAGATTCCAGAAGGAACAGAAGGTGGATGTGCACTGTAGCACCCCTACTAGAACAGTTGTGGATGCTGGGGGAACAACAGCAGAGCCCAGACTTGTGTGCTCAGCCACTGTTGGAGCATGTTGGACCATTTGTCTGACCTGACTGGGTATTTATTACCTTCTTAGCTCACCTGGGACATGTGTTGGGGCTTAGAGGCTTGTCCTCGCCCGGAGCTTTTTGGAAAGATTGATATCTTACTTGCTGCTGATTCAGCCTTAGGCAGATGGTTGTACATTACTGTTACCGTATCTCCTTCAGTAAAGTTACTTCAGGTTGAGGTTTGCTGAAAACATTGTCCCGGCACGGCAATCCCCCGTTTTTTTCTGCTGATAAATCATTTAATTGTGTTGCTGTCCTTGAGGTTTCTAAGTGAAGACCTTATCCTGCTGCTACTCATTTCAAATCTTCGTGCTGCTTAGCCCACCAGAGAGTTTATAGGGCTTTTTGCTGCTGCTGGGTTGAAAGAGTGATTTAGCGCTGGTTACGATGCTTTGGGATGGCTGTACCCAACCCTTCTTGTGACCTGCTCAGTTGCATTTTTTACACTTTAATCTCTCAGTTTGAATCTTTCTGTTTTCATCTTTGCATTTCTATAGGATGCCCTTTTTGGTTTATTTCCCATAATAGCCTGTTGCTGATCAGCCAGCTTTTTCCCCTTTTCTCAATCCTCTCCTAGCAGGTGACATGTGCCGATATTGTACTTCGGCACGTGATGTCCTTCGATGGTCTGCATGCTTCCTCGAGGATTTGGTTTTCTTCATTGCTCCTTGTAGCTTCTTTTGAACAAGCTTCCTCATTTGTCTCTGAGCACAGTTGTGGTGGATTCGCTCCTGTTGTTCACGTGGGAGCGTTGACTCCCCGTGTATTGGGGACACTGTTGCAGTGTTGCCATTTTGAATCTGATCCTGCTCGTCACTCAGTACCAAATCAAGGCTTGCGTCTCTTCCTAGTGAGCAATTGGTTCGAAAGCTCATGAAAGGGGTAGTGAGAGCATCTAAAAATGCCCCCCCTGCTTCGCGGCCTGATGCGCCGCTTGCCCGGTCTGAGCGGGTAATTGAAGACGCCGCTAAAATCGCGTTTCCTGCCCTTGTCACCTCTTTGACCTCTCCTCGCATGTTGTGGTCGGGATTGTCTTCTACTGATTGTGATGCTGATCCAGCACTACGTTTTTCCTTTTCCAGTATGGAATTTCAGTCAATTGGAATTCTTTTTCTCATTGAGATTAGTTTTGATTTGATTCCAAGCTTTGTAACGCGCTGTCATGGTTTA